GCACACACACGCACACGCACACACACTCACACACACACACACGCACACACACACGCACTCACACACGCACACGCACACACACGCACACCTGAGATTGTACTGGTTTCTCTGCATCTTCACTGCGGAGGTCTGGGTCACTCCTCAATCTGTGCAGGTTAAGGCAACAGCAGCAAACACACACACACACTCACACACTCACACACACACACGCGCACACACACACACACGCGCGCACGCACGCACGCACACACATCATATATCATCATTAACTGCCATGGACTTAAAAAAATGATGGCTCATTTCAGACGGAAACACAACAATCTTCCAAACAATCAATCAATCTGAAATGTTTTTATGACTTTGACTTTGTTCTCAGGAACGCCACACATTTTTTACAGCTTGTGTATATTCTGTGTATATTTAATGTATTATTTTGTTTTACAACTGTTTAAATTTGCCTATTGTTGGTATAGTGTTGTAAAGCACTTTGGTCAACTCCGGTTGTTTTTAAACTATGCTATATAAATAAAATTGTATTGTAGTGTATATTGAATTATGTCTGGTGAAATGTTTTCTGCGGTCATCTATTATGATGATTAGTTTATCATCAACAGAAATGTAATTTGACAGTATTTTTAAAGGTGATTTTTGAAGCAAATTTGCAAAAGATTTGAAACATTATATGTTGAGTTAAAATAGAATGTGATTGAAATTGAACAATTAAATTGTAATCTAATAATTAAACAAGCTTAATTCATACACTACTGCTAAAAAATTTGGGGTCGATGAGATTTTTTTAATGAAGTCAGAAACTGCTCACCAAGGCTGCATTTATTTAATCAAAAATACAGTCAAATCAGCAATATTGTGAAATATTATTATAATTTAAAATAGATGTTTTGTATGTGAATATCTGTTAAAATGTAATTGATTTCTGTGATGCAGCGCTGAATTTCCAGCATCATTCCTCCAGTCTTCAGTGTCACATGATCTTCAGAAATCATTCTAATATGCTGATTTGCTGCTCAAGAAACATTTCTGATTATTATTAATGTTGAAAACATTATATTTTCATATTTTTGTGGAAACTGTGATACATTTAATTTTTTCAGGATTCACAGATGAATAGAAAGTTCAAAAGAACAGCATTTATTTGAAATATAAATCTTTTGCTACATTATAAATGCCTTTACTGTAATTTTTGATAAATTTAATGCATCCTTGAGGAATAAAAGTATTAAATCACTGACCCCACTCTTTTGAACAGTAGTGTATATATACAGTATATGTCCCAATCACCTGGAGCCTCATACAAATGTCTTTTTATATTTCCATAAATAAGTTTTGTTTCTCACATTCTCTGCTTTCACCTCAAACCTGTTTTTCATGACTGTGGTGATGTTTCCACACTTCCAAAAACACTAGTTAACGCTGCCGGGAGTTTTTTTTTTTTCTAATACAGCTGCTAAAAGAATGACTAAATTTAATGTTTATCTCTCGTCTGATGACTGTAATCAATCTCTATATATTTTTTCCTCTTTTGGAAATTCATGGCAATGCCATTGTGGATTTTTCTTGCGCTATTGGAGCAAATGAGAATGCCAAAATCATATTTGAGGATCCTGTAAATGTGGAAAGGACCCATGATATGTTTTCATGACGACGAGTCCCTTATTAAATCTGTTCAGATGTGACGCCACTCTCTCTCATGAATGGTGAATGTGCACATCTGCTAGTGCTCCTGCTGTTATCATGTTATCTGTGTGTGTTTTATATGTTTGATCCACAGCTCACAGATGAACCTATTCTGATACAAAACCACACAAACTGGACAAGCTCTTACTGGAACTCTACATATATCTAGCCAAGATACACAAGAGTAACCAGAGATCATTGAACACAGCCAAACATAAGCTCAGCGACACATCGGCCAACCTGAACACACACACACACACACACACACACACACACACACAAATATTAAATGAAAATGAACCCAAATGACAATATTTCTAATATCCATTTACTACATTTTTCATATAAGATTTAAATTTTATATAAATAATAATAGAAATAAATACGATTTTATTAAGTTTAAGTTGAAGCACTAAAATTGCTGACTGAAAAGTTAAATCAAAATAAAACAAACTATTTAAAAAATGTTTTTGTTAATTGAAAAAAAAGCTAAAATAAAATATAAATATTGGATGAAAAATTGAACCCAAATGGAAATTAGAAACGGCAACATTTCTAATATCTAATATTTAGTTTACAGTAAGTTTTTATCTAATATTTATCTTTTATATAAATAATATAAATTAACATAATCTTTTTGGCAACTAACTGAAATAAGTTTAAGCTGAAGTACTAAAATTTCTAACTGAAAACTAAACTAAAACTTGAAAAAATATTTAAAAAAAGAACTAATAAAAATAGCAAAAGCACATAAAATTAGTAATTAAAAAGATAAAATATGTAAATTAAAAGCCATTTCAAAATATTAATAAAATACATTTAAAAATGTATAAAGTATACTATAATATATAAGCCAAACCAAAATAAGACTGGATCTCATCCGTTCTCTCTCAGAAGGGATGTGAAACTATATTTAGTGGCTTGTTTTTGTCCTGTTTGTCTGGAGTGTGACTGTAACTTCCTGAAGAATGAGACACGATCTGATTGGCTGAGGATGAAGGTCGCTCTGCTAAACACAGGTCCTGTGTGTCCCTCATTAGCATATATAATGACTTAATAACTGATGCCATCTTTTACTAGGCTGTTTTATTACAGGAATATTTTAGCCGGATCCCAGATCAATGACCGCCGTCTCCTCACTGTATCCCTGATACATTAATGCATGACATCAGAAGGACAGTAAATGTCTCCTTATTTTATAGCACTTTTAATCTCATCCCTGTTACTTTTTTTTGTAAATAAATTAATACTTTTATTCAGCAAAGATGCATTATATTGATCAAAAGTAACAGTAAAGTTATACAAATATTACCAACCCCAACCTTCTAAACAGTAGTGTGTATAAAAAGGTTTATATTAAAATAAAAGGTGTGTGTGTGTGTGTGTGAGTGTGTGT